CCCCCCCCCCCGGGAAGGCAATGTGACGTATTGACTCTACAAACAAGTGTTCTTAGGCTTGAGTAAGAACACCATATGACCTACAGCAATGAAAATCAGCAACCTCATAACATAGATATAAGAAACAAACAAAAATCAACTGAATTCACTTGTTTGCAATTTCTGTTCTAAAAGTAACAAATTACTTCATACCTGTGGATTTCCTTGTTCCATTGCAGCATTGCACATTTCTGCATCACGATTAATTGCCTCTTCTGAAAATAAAGTTTTGAGAAAACTATTCTTAAAACGTTTCAAACTCAAATTAAGACACTATATGAACGAAATCAGAGAGAAAAAAAAAACAATGCTTCCATCAGAAAACCTTTTTCCCGGCTTTTTGAAACTTAGACCGTGTTCCACAAACTATGGTAGAATTGAGGGGTGTGTTCAAAACTCGAAATGGCGAAATGACGAAATGGCACTATGGTTTGCCTATTAAAATAGCGCCCCGGTTAGCCTGAATATCACTGACTCGACAATGGTTAGCTCTCCATGGTTGTAAGGATTAACCCTTACAGACACCCGTATCCACATTGACTCTTGGCCGTAGTGCCACTTCGTCATTTCGCCATTTCGTGTTTTTAAACACGCGTTAGAATTGGCTTTGATTTTCACACTCAATTTCATGTACACCTGATCGGCACACATACCGTCATGGGGTTGGGAGATAAGTTAAGTCAAAAGACAAAAAAAGACGGCTTGGGACACACCGGTATCGATAGAGTTCATACAACATACCACAAGCTTCAATGAATTTAGCAGTGTCTGTTGCACTGTCCACCAGATTAGTCAGGCCTTGCATCTTGTCTTTCCAAATGTCGCGCATATTTTCAAAATGGACCGACACAGCAGGTGCATCTCCAGGTGAGTATTTGCCGTAATCCAACAGAATCTTAGCCACATGAGAAACTTGTGGAGTCCACTCTTTCATCTGCCAAGGAAATAGTCAATACTTTCAATGACATGATTTACTGAAAATTGAAATTTTCCTACATGAAACTGGCTACCATAAAATTCTTTTTTTGCAAGTTCAGAGGACTTAATGGTACATCAAGGGGTGTAGTAACTGTGGTTGGCAGGTGACATTCAACTGCCGAGAAAGTTCAGCATCAGCAGCTATCTCAATATTACTCCTTTGCTACATCCTTCTACAACAAAACACGCTGACCAAACAATTTTAACAGCCGTAGTAACCTAATTGAGCTAGGAATCCATGGACTTTTCAAAACATTCAAGACAAACAGGGAGTTACGCTATCTGATAAAACTTAGAGATTCACAAAATACCCTAAATCCTACTAACAACAAATCAAAGAGGATAAGCTAATACAAGTTTTGTTGAATGAATGCCACTATCAACTATAAGGTCGATTAGGGGTGACGAATGGTCTTTCAAAAACTCTGGGTCTCAAAATTTTAGTCGAATTTCACAAGTCTCTTAGCTGGTGTCGTATTTTTTAGCGGTCATGGGTCTCTTTTTTTCACGAAAATGTTAAGGAAGACTTGACGTCCCTTGATATATTGAATTTTAATAACGCAACTTTCAAATTTGCGCCGAGAAAAGGTTAATCCTAAATTTCCCTGAATTGTCTGAATTACACAAAACGTATATAATTTTGGCGTTAGAAGAACACCTAGCTCGTTCTAGGATATCACGACATACTGTTCTAGTCGAATTTCCAGTTCCAGTTCGTTATTGCAATTAAAAAAGTTCAAAATGTCTTGGGCTCACAAAGAAAGAAGCTACTCTCGCAGTTACCATTCGCCACCACTATTCTTACTTATGGACAACTTGCGCCGGTCAATTCAAAATGTTATCATCATGGAAATGTCACATATTGGTCGGAGTGTGGGAGATTAGAACCAAGCGGAGCCATATTGGCCTTAGCTAATACTATGAGAAATAACTGCTATCTGTAAAGAGAATTTGTATTTTGAGATCAGGGCTTTCAGTGGAATATTCACCTCCTCTGCATTTTGTCGTATCTGATCCAAGAGTCTTTTGTTGGTGTTTCCTCCAGCATTTGCCAGTTGAATTGCAGTGTCGGCGATTTGGTTTGCTTGGTGTTCAAAGGCACCTGCCTTAGCTTCAAACTCAGCTTCCCGTCCTGGTGCATCTGACCAACAGACATTCAAAACACAAATTGTAATACACTGTGAAATCCTGATTTCTTAAAGGTCCCCACAACTTGACCAAAAGACATTCCGGACACGTGTTTTTTTCAACTGTAATTTCTTTCCCCAATATCTTGAAATCACAATATCTTTAAACAGTTTTTGTCACGGATGATAAAATAATTAATTGCAGAAATGCTCCTGTATTTGGAAATTTAGCACGTCATTTGGGCACATTTGAATCTAGTGAGTTACACATAGCTCTCATGAGTCTCCAACAGCTCAGTCAAAGTGCATCTGGTCACTGCACAGAAGGCCATCAGGGTTTAACTCCCACTGGGAGAAACCATGATATCAATGCTTTCTTAATGTGTATATTGATAGTCACTGCTCATTTCAATTAATTAAAAGAAGAAAACACATATTTTGAGCAACTTAACATCAATTTGTTTTTTTGAAAAAGGTGAAAAGAATGGGTGAAGGGGCCCAAGAAGAAACCACAAGGCTTATAATTAATATTAGATCCCTTGTTACAATACTAGTAAAAAGAATTCCATGGATTAAATGAAGCTAAGATTGCTTGAAAATGTACGAATATCTCAAGGAGCAGTATAAGTTGTTCATTATCACTCAGTTTCACCTGGTGGAGCCCGGGCTGCTTTCTCTAATTGCTTCAGATTTGTTGTGGTGTCCATGAAATCTTCTGCAACTTGTGCAACAACTGCATTTTGCAGTTTGTTGTTCAATTCCTCTAGCTTTCTCTCTATCTTTTGTGCAGTAGCAGCTGCCTGGGGAGAATTTCCCTGTGAAATAGTTTTCATTGTTCAAAACTCTTTTACAAAAAGGTTCAGTGAAACAATAGCAGAAAGGTTGGACGAATTGGGACACATAGCTAGTGCTGCTGCCAACATAACATGTTTTTGTGTACAATAATTTCCAGAAATAATTCAAAATAGAAGTGGATATCCTCCTCCATTAGGTCAAACCCCTCCCTCCTAGATTCCTTGCTTTGTAATGCTCCTGACCCCATGTAAATATCCCCTGCAGAAATAACACTCTTCCCTAGAGATCTTACTACTCCTGGTAAATAATTGCCTCTCTTGTAGCTAACAGTCCTCCTCAAATACAATTTATTGTGCTCCTCCCCACAGATAACACCCCCTTTAACGAATTTATACCTCCAGATAGTACCAGCTTTTTTATAAGCATTATGCCCTACCCCACAGCCACTTCCCATCCCCCATAGATAATGGTACCCCCCCTACAATAATGATACCTACCTAGATAATATTATCATCCCATAGAGGATATCCTTATGTTATAGCTAGTACACACCCCCACCCCCCAAAGATAACACTCTTCCTATAATCAATACTGATTCCCATAGATCCTACCACATTTAACACACCTCCCTGCAAATTATCAATTAAAAGCCACAAAACAATAAGTGAACATACCATTCCTCTTCTCATCATTTCAGCAAGTTCCTTGGTAAGTTGATCAAGTTCATCACAAATCTGCAAAATTACACTCCTTTCTGGACCAGAGCATTTATCTGCTACTGCACGGCCCTCATCGATGCATTCTCGAATGGCCCGTTCACCTAAGCAAGTGACATATTAATTATTTACTAAGAATTTTAAAACACTTTTCATAGCCATCCTCAAGAATGCTTGAAATATTTTCTCCAGGGATACTAGTTCCTGATGGATCAGAGCTGCAAATTACAGTATGCACTTACTAGAAGAACAACCATACATATGCACAGGACACCCACCTAAGCCAGTAGGGTCTGATGATGGATTGTTCATCCACTGGTGTACCTGATCCATCTTGCCAACAAGGGTGTTAGCTGGTCGACGCACACCAGACTGCTCTTGTTGTAATATGGCATTTTGCATTTCTGAATTTAATCCTTCAAGCTGCTGGGCAACTTCCTTGTTAAGTCGTTGGCCTTCTGGAGAAGTTCCCTTAAGAAAGATTTTAAAACCGTCAATACATCACCCCTCATCATTACTGTTTGCTGGGAGGCTTCGTGCCCCTAGAGTTTGTGACATGGACTACATATTGAAATGTAAAGGGTTCAAACCTGGCTAATCTCGCACAAATTACTCTGCTATGACAAGGTTAAGATTAACACTCTAACTCCCACAGAGTGCCGTGTTGCATAAAATGCAATTAGATCTCAACATTTGGTCAAGTTATATATATCAAATTTGAACAGCAAAAATCTAATCCAAGAACGTTTCTTTGGATAGATCTGTCTTTTGAAAGCATAAAACATACTCCCCCCCCACCCCCTTCCTGTAATGAGACTTGATTAATCACCCCTACAAGTTTTCCCACGTTTTTCTCTTGCACATTTATGGTCAAGTAATATCTGACAATAATAACCCACCCTTTCAATTCAAACTGTGTCTTCCTCTATGGAAAACTGTTTGTATAATTTATGGTATCCCAATAATACAAGATACCTTTCAAGTGGTATACTGTATGTTGTGGTCTTTGGATCTAATACCTTACAGTTTTGCAAATTTATTTGGTATTCCCCACTGGAGGGAAAAGGTTAAGTGTCAGCACTGAAGGGACATCTAGATTTGTGGACTCAGGTATATTAAGGAGTGGGTCAGTTGTTATTTAGTGTAAAACGTCCAGGGGTGGTCTATCTGGAGAACCATGCATACAGAAGGCTTCTAACTTAGCTATGGTAAACGACGGCTCAAAACAAGTTTAGTTAATAGTGTTGTTGCCACGGCAACCAATCACGTGACCAAATAACAGCTCACTTCCTGTTTAGATTTTAAGGCCTCTGCAGACAGGGAAGAATGGTACTTATTCAGTATTTTATTATGTAGTCTGACTACCTACCCAAGTACTATAACCAATGTAATTGGAATGCATGTCCAAGTCACGTGACCAAAGAACTGTCACTAATGTAACTTTATACACACTATTTAAAGAGACTTTCACCAAGGTTTGACAACCGTTCCAATTACAATGGGTACGGTTCTTGGGCAGATAGTAAAACTACAGAACATTACGCTGATAAAGAAACGTTTTCCCCTGTCTGCAGAAGCTCTCAAAATTTAACCGGAAGTGGTCTGTTATTTGGTCACGTGACACATTTCAAGTAAAACAACAACGTTAGGTTATCTATTAAGTAGAGATGTAACCTGCAGCCAAGATTTGTCCACATTGTATGAACCGTTTCCAAGATTGACCACCCCCCTCACTTTTTGACTAAGGAAAAGATGACCCAGCCCTTAATATACCTGAGGAGGTTTTTGTACTTTCAGACTTCAAAGAATCTGTTTTGTTGTCAGGCTGCAATTTAAACTCAAAATCAAGGAGCTCTGGCTTAGTCTGTGTACTTAAAAATTACTTTCACATGCATTTGAAAATATCTCTAACCTAAAGCCATTTTCATACTATTTACTTACATTTCCTTGCCTTCTCAACTCTGCCAAATCCCCCATCAGTCGATCAAGATCATCACAAACCTTCCTGATCCTTCCTTTATCAGGTCCCTGGCTAGCATCAGCAAATTTACGACCTTGTGCAATGCACTCTCTCACAGCTTTCTCACCTATCCAAAGAGAATGAAGCTTTGTTAACATCAGTAGCAGTCCCTAAAATAAACAGATTTGTATCTTTAGCACTTCGAATGAAGGGGAATTTTGCTCCACAATAAACTATTTAATAGTTGAGCACTTTTGTCTAACAGCTTGAAATATAGAATTTAGATGAAATGTCTTTGCCAGGGGAGAGTTACAGATGAAGTGACTTAGAATTGATGTTTATCCAGCATTTATTGAAAACAATGTCACCACACGGAGGCAACTCTGTTAAGAACTTTGCCAAAACAGAAAAAAATTTGTCATCTCAGGCTGGAGTAAGATGAATCTTTAACCCAATGCCCTGCCCCACCCCCTTGTGGTCAGTAAACCAAATGCCCCACTTTGCCATCTTGTAGCCAGAAAACACAATGCCCCACCCCACCCTCCTGTGGACAGTAAATGCAATGCCCCACCCCAATTATAACTTAAGGCGTATTAATGACTTCTCAAATGTATGGTACAACAGTAACCCTGGCAGAAATAGTGTCAGATAAAGAGGACCCATAGTTTGGAATTTAATACCTAAAGCCATCAAGGATGCTTCCTCCCTATAGCTTTTTAAACAAAAACTTAGACAGGCCTCAAGGATACTAGATCAAATTCACTTTGAAAAAGAAGCCTGTCAGATAACATCAAAACAAATGGACTTTCTGTATTTTGAAATTTTTGTCAATTTTTGTAAATTAAGTACTAAGTTTTTGTTATAACTAGTTTTTTAATTAAGTTTCTGGCAGGTCCCCACCAGCCTTTAGGTTGCCTCAAACAAACCTGCCTCAACAAAAAGTATATGTATGTATGTATTTGTATTGCACTACTCGCGGGGACCCTTATTGTATGTATGTATGTATGTATGTACCCTGCCCTAGCAAGGTCTTCACCTAATCCTCCAGCAGATTCTGTTGGTGTGTTGACCCACTTCATGGCTGGCCCCATGTTACTGTCAAAGAGAGATGCAGCTTTTTTCATGTCATTCAAGGGGTCATCTCCTCCCTCCTCTTCATATGTGGTGTACTGTAATACTCGGATTATTTCACTGATCTCAAATGACATCTTGCCAACAACATAATTTCTGTATTCCTGAGCCTCTGCAATGTTTTGACCTCCTGCAAAAGAATGTTTAGCCATGATTAAATTCTGTACGTACCGAATAGTTTAATATTATTAATACAATCAACTCAACATTTTAACCAATTTTGGAGTCATTTCCACAAACTTGCAAAGACTAGCTGGTTGATGGTGCTTTAATCTCAGTCAGTCAACTCTATTGTGGCAAACACACATGAATCACACATCCATGGCTATTATTGAAAACCCTTCCCAATACAAAAAATAAGTTTAAAGGTATATTGTGCAGTTCCACCAGAAAATATCCACACCTCCCCCACAGAAGGGATTTTTTTTAAGACCCTTAGCCCCTCTGGAAATTCCAATTAAGCTTCATATATTTCTTTAAATTTTCTGGTCTTGGAGAACCCCCCATCCCCCAGGAAATTCCAATCCCTTCTGTTGGGGGAGTATGGATATTTTCTGGAACTGAACATTTTGGGTGGGTCGGTCAGAAAAAAAATAAAAAAATAAAATGGGAAAAGGAGTGTGGAGCTAGGAGGCCAGGTACAACATGGCCTGGTCAACATGGCAGCAACGGAGGAAGGAAAAATCAATGTCATTGTGAAAATAAAACGAGAANGTGGATTGAGGAATGGGAATTTCTTGGTAAGTGGCCACTACTAATCACTGGTCATTCAGCAGATTGCATTATAAACCGCACTCACAGTGATTGATAGATTACAAATACGATTGTTACACTAAAACTATTAAATAAATTTAACAACACATCCCACTTTGTTACAATTTGCTACCTCTTTGCACAGTCAAAACGTAAGTCTTGATAGCAGTGATCAACTGCGTTGACATGGCTTTAACGGCATTTAAAGATTTCTTTAACATGTCAGCATGAACTTGGTGAGTCAACTCCTCAATGCGGCCTTCAACCTTTTTCGCCATTTCAGTGATTCCTGGTGTTAGGTTCTTGACAAACGTCACAAGCTCTTCCATGCTTTCCACAATCTCAGCAACAGAGAGATATTCCAGAACTCCTCTACACACCTTCAAAATTTTACGTACCTCTGCTTCATCAAATGTTAAAAGTAATGCAGATGTACCAGAAAGAATTCCTGAAACAACACCAAGTAAGAAAGATGAATGATGAATAATTTTAGCTTGCCATTCTAAAGACCATTTTATATCAGTTTTATTTTTCTGAGGTCTTGTTTTTGTGTACATCTCTCTTTAAAGCAATCTAAAACTGTTGAGTTTCTCAGAGGTCTCGGCACAAAGGTCTCGGCGCAAAGGTCTTGGCACAAAGGTCTCAGCACCTCTGCAAGCCCCAGGGGGGAATCCCATATAAAAAGGATGGGCATGCTTGTTGGACATTTTGCAAAGAACCCCTAAGAGATTCTAAAACAATAACTCCAATTCTAAAACAATACATTAACTCCTGTCATATTTTTTCAGCTCAATACCCTAAAAGGTACTGCAAGAGCTCTGCTGTGGACCTTTTGAGGCTGAACACCATAATTAAGCGGTACCAAAACCGCTTTCTTAACCCCTAAAAGGTGCAATGAGCATCCCCATCCTTTTTATATAGGACTCTCACCCCCCTCCCCCCCACCCCCTTGCTACCCTGGGCTGCAAGCCTCAGATTTTAAAATTCCAAAAAAGATTGTACAGACAAAAAATATTTCTCTCAAGACATTTGCAGGTCATCATTCACTTTGTAATAAAGGGTGTCTAGTACATAACTGCTGAAATTGAGAAGATTACTAATTTTAGTAGAGTACATGAAAGCTTAAGCTCACAAGAACTATATACTGTACCTCTGGCACCATCAATTAACTTCTTGCGAGCTTCAGATGACAGAGGATCTCTTCTCAGAATCTGAGAGGCTTCCACAAGAAATATCGAAGATTCCTCAACTCTTTTAAAGGCAAGTGGCATTTCTTGTTTGAGGATTTGATCTTTGCTGGACGAGGCTGTTTCTTTACCCACCTGAATGAGCAAAACAACAAATTGTTATTAATAATTATTATTATTACTTCACTTAATATAGTACACCACCTAATAAGAGACCAAGTGGTTGGTCAGTGTAAAACACAGACTGCAGAATGCGGACTACAGACCAGGGAGAAAATGCAAACTGCAGACTTTTTAAGCATATTTGAATGTGTTATTTCAATTATCGAGCACTCACCATAAACAGGATTATTCAGGCTAATTGCAATGAAAGTCTGGATTCTGGTTTAAGCCTGAATATCACTCAGGTTAGCCTACATAACGCTCAGGTTAATCTGTTTATGGCTAGCTTTCAATGATGGGAATGGTAACATGATTCAGTTAAAATAAATGTCCAGTCTGCAGTCTGCATTTTACCCTCTGCATTCTACCCCTGCTCTGCCATCTACATGCAGTCTGCAGGCTGCGTTTTACAATGACCGCGGTTGGTTGGCAGGCTCCTCCAGTCTGTAGCTTACAATAAATACACAGGTGGCCTTATCAACTGTGATCAAAAGAGTGGCATATTATTGTTATAATTTGAACCACTGATAAGAAATACTGACCTTGACAAGATTTTCAACAGCTGCTCCAACAGCTTGTACAGGAATAGCCAAGTCTGGCATTGCTTTACCGTCTTCAGCTTCTTCATGAAGAATAATTAATGTGGAGACCTAGATAGCAAATTTATTTTAACATCAAAAGCAGAACATGACAAAAAATTATCACCATTTAAAACTTACGTTCAGTACAAATTTCACTAAATGGTTGTAAGAAAGGCCAAAATACAAAAAAAAAATTCTCATGAGAAATTGTAGTTAATTACTTCAGACAAACAACACAGCACTGCTCCTGAAGAAATCTTGAACAGTAGCAAAATTAAAGCCGACAATGACCTTTTGTTATTGTAACAACATTTGTATTTTAGCTGCATTGACTACCACTTGAAAATAAATACCCTAATGTTGATTTTAATCACCTTAAGCTGGGTATGTTTTGTATAAGAACAAATCTTCTAACATTAAACTTGTGTTACATAATCGTTTGAACTCCCTAGTAATCAACAAGCTAAAGCTAATCAAATCACGAATCAAAACATCAAGCTTACGTTTCATTCACACGGCTAAGCCTAGTCTGCTTGGCTCGACAATTTAATTAATTGGGTCCATACAACATGCCGGCAACACCCTGTGATTTAGCCAAAACTAGCTTAGTATTGATTTGATTTTTCTTTCAGAAATCCGTGATCGCTCATCTGCATTCAACTTGGTCGCCGGGAAAACCCGATCAAGGATTCGTGTAAACTTATACTAGATACAAAGAACACTCAATTGGCTCGAAATACTGTTTACTTTGAATAACAAAAGGGTCTGAGACCCTGAAAAGTAATCCAAGATTTAACTCACAAAATTATGTAACTACGAACTCCCAAGTTTGTCCCTACCACCAGCCATCTTACAGCACGATGCACTTTGCTTCTCACAGCTTTGCGGTGCGAACGTAAAGAAACGTGCAGGCGGAGCAAATTTTACGGTAACCCAAATTTTTCGTCTGTCACGGTCCTCGAAAACCATCGGATTGTTTACAGTATTCGTGCACAAAAATTAAACATAAGGCATCGAGATCAGAGCTTTCAAGACATTCCTTTGCAAGAAAATATTTAAACTTACAAAGGATTCCCGAGAAATGGTATTCAACGAACAGTTGGTACGGTTGTCAGGTCTAAATGTAATGCACATCATGCACACAAGATCTGTCCATTAGAGAGAAGAACGTATTTACTCTACCTGCTGGGCCACAGGTTCCAATATTGACTCGATGGTTTTTGTGTGGAACACGGGCATTTTCAGCGCTGAAAAGCTGATTCCGACTCCAGTGCTGGCAGAAACAAAGTAAAAGGGAAATTCTTCCGAGAGAAATATTCGGGAAGTGTACACACCTTGGAACACCCAGCCCCGCAAAAAAATGTCCAAGTCGGGAAAGACGACCGCGTTATTCCCAGGGGTAGGTACAGCGGATGTAGCCATCACTCGTCCCAGACTCTCGCGTAGACTCTCCGAAACAAAGAGCGTCAAAGATGGCGGACGAAGATATCGAGATGGATAATTTTTCCGAAGGAAGGGCTGAATCGGCCAGTGATTTCGCCGGCGAGGATGAAAACGAAAAGGTAATTTAGCTACAGTAGTCTTCCTTTTCAATGCAGGGGTTTTTGGGGGATTGGTATTTGAGATAATGTATGTTGTTTGTACTTATTATAAACTAATTGAACATAAACTATGACAGGTTGAGGACAAATTCTTGTAGGCTTGGGAATCACNAACCATAGAAGAACTCAAACAAAACACAGGAAAGCCAAGAAGGGACATGGATGGACAAAACTGGAGAGGATTAAAATGGATTGCATTTGGGTAAATTTGTAAAATGTCGGCCCACTTGTTTTCAAATTTATATCAGTTTATATCAAAATGTCATTTACACAGGTGGAAAATCATTCTCAGTTATTATGTGGCCATGATTTTGCAAATGAAAGACTTTTGCTCTGCCAATTTGATGTTTAGAGCTCATAATTAACAAAATTAATCAAATTACCTAAATTAGCGTGACCTAGCCCCTTTAACTAGCGATTCAAACCAACTTGCACTCTGATAACTAACTACAGAGCTACTAAGAAGACAAAAAATGTCTCCAATATTGCGACTCATTGCTGTGTTTACACATTTGTAGATGGATGCATATGACACACTGGAGAGTGAGCCTGAGATAAGAGTGGACAGAAGCCTGACAGACAGTGACTTACTGATTGCTTTAGCTCAGGTGTCTGAGAATAAACACATGATGCCTGGAAATGGGCACATCAAACCTGACCTGAGTATGAGTCTAAATAGCAGTCTTGGTAGCCTTGGTAGCAGTCTGAGCAGCAGTGGATTGCTTGTTAGTAAAGGCAAGGAATCTACTGGTTCAGTGCCGAGGAAGTCAGCTAGAGGAAAACGAAAATTAGACAGCAGTCAGCAATTGTCTTCATCTAAGAAATCAAAGAGGTGAGTGCTAATGTTATTGACAAAGAATTGTTCAGTTTAACAACTTCAAATAATTCTGATTTGATGGACATTTTATTAATATCAGAATCTAATGGCCAATTCCTTCTATGATATGCACCTACAGGGAATCATGGTAGTTGTATTCATCAAAAAAATATCCAGTCTAAGATGATGAATACAACTACCATGATTCCCTGCAGGTTCATCTCATAGAGGGAATTGGTCATTGAAATCGTCCATAATGGCAGCTTGTACTCAAAGCTGTGATTGTGAGATTAAAGACCCGTACAGTGATTTTTAGGATGGTGCTATTTTTCTTTTTTGCTAGCGACGTGCCTCCATCGCAGAAACTACCTCCACATGGTTATCCTTTAGAACATCCCTTTAACAAGGTTTGTACCATTTTGAACTTCTTTCTTAGTAAATTCAGTTAATACT